CTTTCCTCGCCCCCCGGGCCCCGGTTGGCCTCGTGCCCCCGGTGTCTCTTTTGTGCGCCACGGGCCTGGCTGGGGGGGGGGGTCCGCCGCCGGTTATGGAGGGGGGCCTCTCTCCCTCTAAATTTCTCGCCCTCACGCGCGTGACAAAACCACACGGCGAATGGGGCGGCGGCGCGGCGCTCAGAATGGCGAAGAGTCGGTCGTGCCCAGAAGCACATCCCCCGAGGTGGAGGTGTTGACGGCCCCGCCGCTGGCGCTGTCGGTCAGCACATCGCTGAGGGCCGGCGAGTTGGGAGACTGGCCCGGGCCGGCGGCCGGCACGGCAGCAGGCGCCTCGTCAAAGTGCGCGGACCGCTGGCGAGACATGCGCTGGAAGATCTTGCCCACGCCGGTGGGCGGGGACTCGGCACCGGAGGGGGCAGCAGCCGCCCCGCGCTTGGTGCTGCCACTCCCGCCGCTGCTGCTGCTGCTGCTGCCGGCCGAGCCGTGGCTGCCGCCGCCGCCGCCACCAGGGGAAGCGCCGGCCACCGTGCCAGAGGCAATGTTCGGGAGGGACACCATGGAGCTGCTGCGGTCGGTGGCCAGGGCGCTGCTGCCGCCGGCGACACCGCCACCACCACCGCCACCGGTGGCGGCGGCGACACTCATGCTCGCACCGTGGCGATGGTAGTGGCTGCTGCCGAGCGGCCCGGCGCCGCCGTGCGACGACTCGCCATCGGTGAAGTTGGCCTTCAGCTGGTTGAGGGCCGCGCGGCAACGGTCGTCGAAGTCCGACGACTGCAGGAAGCGCGGGTAGCTGTCCTGCAGCATGAGAGTGAAGATGTCCTTCTGCGCCCGGGTGAAGATGCTGCGCGCGGTGATCGGGTCCAGCACGGGGTCGGGCCGGTCGCCGGCACCGGCACCGGCCGGGGCGTTGGCCATGGTGGTGGTCGACCGGTGGAGCTGCGACATGCTGTGGCTGGCACCATGGCCAGGGGGGGCGGCCTCATCGCCGGGCGCCGGCGGCGCCGCCGGCACCGGCGGCAGGTTGGCCAGCGAGTCGTGGCTGGTGGTGGGGGTGGCCATGGTGGTGGCCGTGGCGCCGCCGAATGGCGATGCCGTCCCGACCGAGGCCGACACCTCCTGGCGACCGGCCAGCTTGCGGGCCTCATTCAGCCGGGAGTTGATTTCCTTGACCACCTCGTGGGTGAGGTTCACCTGGAGGTCGGACTCCGCGCGGATGTGCGAATAGTGGATGGCCATGGCGCTTTGTGCGTCGGAGGGGGGAGGGGGGGGGGGGGGGGGGAGAGCATAGCGAGGTGTCAGTGCATCGGGCGGCCAGGGCGCGCGCGCAATGGGAGCGGCCCCGGACACGGGCACGGCAAGGCCTCCTCGCCGAGGGGGCCGGAGAGACAAGGCGCAAGTGAAGGGCGAGGCATGGGGCGTCGGAGGGGGCGCGCGCAGCATGGCGGGAGGGCCGGAAAGGGAGGCGCCCCCCCCCCCTCTCAGGCCGGCTGCCTCCTTTGCCACCTGCTACCGGAGGCTGGGCGGGAGAGAGAGAGAGAGAGAGAGAGAGAGGGCAGGCGGAGGGTATGGCATGCGTACCGGGCATACAGCTGGGCCGGATCGGCGCCCGGGGCGTCGCACTGGTCGCGGAACTCATTGCACACCTGCCAGAAGATGAGGTTTTCGATGGCGAACTCCCGGCAGAGGAACTGATTGAAGGCATGGACGCCGACCTCGCTGGACAGGAGCAGGAGCAGCTCGACCGACTGCTCGATGGCGCCGGAGTTCCGGCGGCTGGACCGGAGGAAGCGCTCATCCCGGCGGGACAGCACCAGCGGGGCCACCGTGTCCAGGCCGAAGAGGCAAATGAGGAAGAGCACCGGCAGGACGGCCGACATGCGGTAGACATAGTTGTTCCAGTTCTTGAAGGCCACGGAGAAGACCAGCCACGGGACGGCCCCGCACCCGGCGATGATGGCATCCCACCGGAAGACCAGCTTGATCTTGAAGTTGTCATCGGCCATGCGGGCGAAGCGCGTGCTGAACCAAATGAACAGGGCCACATAGATGGCGATCTCCACGATGAGCACCGCAAAGGGCAGGGTCAGGTCGCACCCGTCGCAATGCAAGCGCGGGGCATTGTCCGGCATGACGCGCGGCGTGAAGAGCAGCGTCGGCAGGATGGACACCAGGAAGGTGCCGAGGAGCACCGCGCGGATGAGCCGCGACGAGGCGAACATCAGCCGGTACCGCAGGCGCAGGTACCACGGGTCCTCCGGGAAGGACCCGAGGAAGTACACGGCATCCGGGTCACTTTGCTCGACGACCACCAGCTGCTCGGCCGGGATGGACCCGTACTCCAGGTCCAATTGGCTGCCGGCCGAGGACCCGGCCCCGGCCCCGGTCAGCGACATGCCGCCCGGGGTCGGGAAGAAGAGCCGCGACTCCGGCCGGTGCTGCTGCTGCTGCTGCTGCGAGGGGGGCGGCTTGTGGCCGAGGGCCGCCGCGGTGGAGCCCACCCCCGGGGGGTATGTGCTGTCGGTGAGCATGCCGAAGTCCGAGTCGGCGGTCTTGACCAGGTGGTCGTCCTCCTGCGCCTCGATGACGGGGGGCTGGTGCGGGGACGACCCGCCGGCCGGGGTGGAGAACCCGGATGAGGAGGCCGTCGAAATGCTCCCGACATCCGGGCTGCCCGGGTGCGTGCCGGTGGACATCGGCCGCAGGGGGATCATGTTTCCGGCGCCCGAGGGGTGGTGGTGGTGGTGGTGGTGGTGACTGCTGCCGAAGCCGCCGGGGCCGTCGATGGCCAAGATCCCCGGAAGCGGGGGCGACCCGCCGGCCGGGGCCCCGGGCATGGTGTGTTGCTCGTCGGTGCCGAGGAGGCCGGCCCCGCCGGAGGCCCGGCGCTTCTTGAGGCGCGCGCGCAGGGCCCGCGACGTGACCAACGGCACCGGGGCCAGGCCCTGGGCCGCGCGCGTGCGCCGGGAGGTGGCATTCTTGCGCTCGGTGTTCCAGTTCCGCGTGGCCAGCCACCACATGCGTGCCAGGTACAGGTGGCAGATGGCATTCACCAGCAGCGACGAGTCGTACAGGTGGAAGAGGCATGGCCAGGTGGTGGGGAGCAGCAGCTTGAAGCACATGCATATGTGCAGCAGCAGCGACAGGAGGTTCGACACGATGAGGTTCAAGGGCGATCGGGCCTCGATGACACGGGTGTTGCGGTTGACCAGCAGCAGGACCATGCCGATGAGGTAGGCCCCGGCCAGGGGCCAGAGGATGACCGCCGTGATGGCCTGCGGCTCGGCCATGTCCACCTCCCAGTGGTTGCACACCACGCCGCCCGGGGGCGGCTGGTATGAGATGAGGTTGCCCATGGTGGTGTGCTGGTGATCGCCGGTGGCGGGGTGGGGATGGAGCGTTTTGGTCAGCGGGGAGGGTGGGGGA